GGAGTGCTGGCACTTAACATATGTTTTGAATCTATTACCTCTTACACTTTCTCAATCTGCAAATTATCAAGACCTTATCAACATATTTTATGTTGACTCTAAGATATGGAATTTTACTTATTCCTTACATACTTAAGCAGAGTTATTATGGAAAAATACACTGAAATAACCAATCAGCTGCCAAGCAGATTATCTAAGTATAACTCTTGCCATATTATTGTTCAAAGATATTCTTCTAACAAAAAAAAATTTTAAAAAAAGCAGAATTCTAAAACTACCCTCCAAACTGCAATACCTTCCCAATGGTAATTTTGAATCCCAAACAGCAACAATCAGATTTAAAGGTTCTGCAAGTTTAACATGGAGAGTTTTATACTTATCATTAAGCTCAGGCACAACAAATAAATTAACTATCATTAACTATCATAAAGGCTTAATGTAATTGCTAGTTGATGATCTTTGTTAACAAAAACAACATTCCTGCCATACTTGAAGAGGTTAAAAAAAAAAAATTAGGAATTTGAATCGACTGTTTACTAATATGAGGACAGCAAGAAAAAAATTTTCTTCAACAGAATAATTATGCTCATTCAGTCACTGTAAGCAAAAGCTCCAGAATGCACTGATTGCTAGTTGGTAATCGCCATAACAAGCCAGGAAGAGGCTGGGCGCGGTGGCTCACGCCTGTAATCCTAGCTCTCTGGGAGGCCGAGGCGGGAGGATAGTTTGAGCTCAGGAGTTCGAGACCAGCCTGAGCAAGAGCGAGACCCCGTCTCTACCAAAAATAGAAAGAAATTAATTGGACAACTAAAAATATATAGAAAAAAATTAGTCGGGCATAGTGGCGCATGCCTGTAGTCTCAGATACTCGGGAGGCTGAGGCAGGAGGATCGCTTGAGCCCAGGAGTTTGAGGTTGCTGTGAGCTAGGCTGACGCCAGGGCACTCACTCTAGCCCGGGCAACAGAGTGAGACTCTGTCTCAAAAAAAAAAAAAAAAAGCCAGGAAGAGCTTCCAGACATCACAGTCCTTTTGTTGTAGTGACACTGTTGAGCGGGGACTTCATGCTTAGTACAGGTCCTGGGCTGTCCTTGAACCAAGGAGATGCTGATACTCTGCCTGCCCACACCCCACTCCCTCCACGTCAGATGTCAGGTGACCACCCAGGAGGAGAGACTATTTCTGTTTCTAGGCCCATTTCCAGAACCAGGAGTGTGTTCTCGAAGTCCAGACAAGAACTACCCTGTTAATTGACAGCTGCAGAGCAGACAGAACCCAAGCTGGGTACAGATTACCCACCCAAGAACTGGCTGAGGCCTTGCTCCCTGGCTGGCTGTTGGCTAATAGGGCACCTTCCTCTGGCTTCAGAAGCAGGTTCTCCTGCTGAGACTGCACACCTGCCCAATGCTGACAGCCGGCCCATGGAGGAGCCCAAACTTGATGTTTGGCTTGAGGCAGGCCATAGGGAAGCTCCTCCTGCAGAGCTATGGTAGTAGCCAGCTGGCTTGAAGCAATCCTTTGTTTACAGTCTTACATTTTATTTCAGCTCCAATTTCAAATTCTGATGAAAATTCCACCATTATTTCTTTAAATAATCCTTTAAAAATCTGAGCACCACTCCTGAGTGCATACTACCAAGAGTTTACTTGTTTTCTGTAACCCTAGTAACAGCGATCTGTATATGATTCTACTCCAGGTCCTTACCAAAGTAAAAAGCCAGCTGTTCAATATATAACACAGGACGAAAAAAACAGCAACATTGCAGGAGCAAAACTGAAGAGAAACATAAAAAGTTTTACCTCCATTTTAAGTAGCATTTAAAAACTTTACAGAGAATGAACCACATACAAGAGTCCTTACCCCTTTGCAAATCTAGAAAAAATTAAAAAGAGTAGAAAAGGCTGGGAATTTACTCACTAGTCATTCTCTCATTTTTAAAAATTTTATGGCACTTTCACTGTCTTTAGGAAATTCAAGAAAGGCTTCTATACGAGATAAACACACTAATGTGTAAAGAAAACAACGCTGCTTGTGTTGACTATGAAACAGCAAACCTAAAATGGAGTTGTAAATAGAATTCACTGGGGGCCATAATGTGAGATAGTCTTAAAGATAAAACTAAAACAATTTTTTGCCACTTAATAGCCCTTAAGGATCATCTTAATCAGTGTTTAGGCTACCCTATAAATATTATAAACAACAAGACAACTGTCAAACTCCCATGGGCCAAATATTTCCCAACAGAATCACAATGCTCAAACTCCCTGAAGTCTCATTTAGTAATTATAGTACCCAGCATCCAAAATATCTTTTCACAGCAAATCCATTCATTAAAAAATCATTATCCAGCAACACTTTGCCTATTGGGTGGTCAACAATCTTTCCTTTCATCCAGAAAATAAAGATTCTACATGAAAAGAAAACAAGCATAGGAAGGGCACTTATACATGCCTATATCATCGATGGTCAAAGCTGCTTTAGCAAAAACAATCTAAAATGGATACCAAAGCCAAAAGGTCAATAATTTGGGGATGTCAGACTTTTCTGGGCAACCAAGTCAACAGCTCAGATATAAGATAAGCCTCACTTAACTTGTAACACTCTACATATTCCCACAAGCTCCCTTAATTATGAAGCCACCCTGAACACTGTCTTCCTAGGCCACCTCCCTCTACTTCACTAGTGTGTAAAGAAAACACCAGGAAAGAAAAACTCTGGCTTCCCCCAAGCTGTTAAGCATATGCTTCCCCCTGTGGAAAATAATTTAGGGAGCCCCTGTCTTGCTTAAGTGTTCCCATAGCTTCAGTCTACATTGAGCTTGTTCCTCAAAACAGCCATAAAATATCCATACCACTCAACCTGGGTACACGGTAATAAACCGCTTTGCACTGTTGGCTGACTTTTTCACATAGGCTTGTCGCATGGTTCCAAAGACTCAAAAAGTCAACTGAAGGCAAAGACCAGGCATTATGTTTCTTTAGCGCTGTGTGTCTGATCCACAGTCCACCTCCTCCTTGTATTCTTAACTAATATTCATTCATAGACTCATAGAAGGTTATAATCTGAAGGGACCTTTAAAGATGACCTAGTCCGAGCTCCACAGTTGCAATGAACTACATGGGAGTCATTAAACTTTTAGAGTCCAGTCAGTCAGGCAGATCTGGGTTCAAATCCTGCCTCTCACATGTTCGGGGTATGTACCCTGTTTTCTCTTCTGTAGAACAGAGATAACACCTACCTCAGAAAACTATCGTAATGGCCAAATGAGACTTTCTTTTTATTTATTTATTTATTTATTTGTCCTTGTTAACATATAATCTTTTTTGTTGATTGTCTTCCCAGTTAATATTACATTAAATTTCAAGCCCAAGAGGCAGGACTTTTTTCTCATTGTATTTTTTAATCTTATAGGTGGTGCCTAATACAGTGCCTGGTGTCTTTTGAGTAAGCCATAAACTAACCATGTGAAAGAATGCATTAAACCTCTATGATCACTAGTTCAGCAAACGTATTATTCTTCAGTTCCCCAAGAACCCAATCTCTTAGGTCTATACATTTCCTAAACTATACCTTCTCAAAACAAACGTATCTTTCTCTCTCGCTCACAAGCACACAACCTGTTTAGAACTAAAAGCTGATAAAAGCCACTTCCTCTCTTATTTTTGGAATAAAGTAGCATCTGTACTAGGATATTCAGGTAAACTGTGACAGATGGAGAGACAAGATTCGGAGAGATTCAACATCCCTGGAAAGCTTTCTTATGATTTGTGGCATCAAGTCCTTCAATGAAATTACTTGCCTATAATAAATTCCGGCAGAAAGTAAATTCATCGGAGAGTTGTCGGTGAAGTTACATATTGTACTTCATTCTATTCTATGCAAACAGTCACTAACAAGATTAACCTGAGCTCTAATAATGGTTGCAGATATCCTCCAACAAGAAACAGGTTCCATTAGCACAGGTAGTAAATTTATACTAAATTTTGCTTTGGGGAACTTGTTTTACTAGAAAAAATATTTGTTCCAGATACCAGGACAAAAGCGTAATTTCTTTCCTTTGCAGTGGGCAGCGACCAAAGAACAAATGGGGAATAGGAATAAAATCCCAGACCCCTGAAGAGGACACAGGTTCCCACTAAAGTAAGGTTGTCTCTTTCAAGGAATATTTTTCCTAACAGCTAAAACGGGTTAACGCATAATCAGCATCTTGTATCAACTACATAAACACCATTTAAGCTTCTCTGGTGCCCTGGGAAAGGACCACAACAGAAATCCCTGCTGGCTTCAGCTCTCCCCTCCGGGGCATGACAGCATGTCCAGGGCGCCCAAACACCAGCCACTAGGCTCCCCCCAGCGCCCTCCTCTCGCAGCAAACCGCCACGGCTCTCGGGCCAAACTCCAATGTCCCTCAATTCAAAACCGCGAAAATGTGAACCCTGCTAAGCAAACGGCAGGGCGCGTAATAACTTTTCTTTCTTATCCTTTTGCGCGCATTTGAGATGCTTGTCTCTACGACCCAGTCCTCAGATCCACAGCCCGCTCCCCGCAACCCAGCTCGTGGAGCAGGGGACAGGGAGCGTGGACCAAAAGGCAGCGCTGGAAAGTGCTAAAACCTCAGCGGTGCTCCTCGTGCGGGAAACTCAGCACACAGCAGCCCGTAATACATAGATGCAGATATAAAGAAGGGAGACGGTTACTCTTTCCATCGCACCCCACCCCTTCTAAAAGGAATAAGAAAAACATGCAGCGGGCGTTTAGCTGGAAATCTGGGCCGTCCTATGGGGCGACCAGGCCCGCGAAGCAGGCCATATGGAATCTGCGGGAAGAAAGTTAGTTGTCCGGCCAGGGCGTGAGTGCACAGCACCTGGTCCTGAGCCTGCCAGGGGAAGGGACCAAGGGGAAAGAGCACAGGACTAGTTGAAGAACTAGCCCCGCGCGAGAGCTGGCCGGGAGGGGTGTGGACGCAAAAGGCCAGCGGAGCGGCGGCCGAAGCTTTACTTACATAACGCTTCAACTTCTTCTCCGGGGGGGACTTGCGGAGCCATCCCGAGCAGACCACTTCGCCGCCGCTCATGGTGAGCGCCTCTCAGGGTCCTGGCCGGGCAGAGGAGGGGCGGCGGGCGCGCTCCCGACACAGCCGATGCCTGCCGGGCGCGCTGTGGCGAGGGCTTGCTTTACGGGTCGCGCACCCCAGGCCGACGGGGCGGGCAGGCTCTGCGGCGCGCTGATTCCGCGAGTTCGAGCCTCTCCTCCGCAGGTCCGCGGACCTGAACAGACGGGAGCTGGGGCCGCCGGGGCCGCCGAGGGCGCCCGCCTCGCCTCCAGGCGCGCGGTTCCGCCGGCCGCCTCAGCAGCGCTCGGACTCCGCGGGACTCTGCCCGGACACGGAGCCGGAGCCTCGGTCCCTTGTGCTCCGCCCCCTAGGGACAGGACCTCCCCAGTGCGCTTTCCGAAACACACACAGCGCTGCACACGCACGCACACACACAATGCCCTCGCGCGGTGCCTACTCCCGCTCGCCCGCTCTCGGTTTCGGTGCGAACCCGCTCCTCGGGGGAGGGTGGGTCACTTCTCCGCGGCGCCCGAGAAGCGGAGAGGAAAGGGGAAGCCGCGAGGCTCCCCCAGACAGCGGGCGCAGAGCAGGTCCCGGGCCGGGAGGGAGCCGCCGAGCCGGCGGCGAAGCGCGGGGCGTTGCTGGACGGCAGGCGCTGGCGAGATCTCAGGTCTGGCCGGAGGGTGGGTCCGCTCTCGCGGCCGCCGAAGAGGGCGGGGAGCGCGGAGGAATGAGGCGCTGGGCGGCTCGGCTCCTGGGAGGGATCCCACTGTCCCGTCCCCTCGCGCTCCTCCTCCGCCGCCTCCCCCACCCAGGGCGCGCGGCAGGTTCTGAGCGGCCCGGCCCCTGGTCCGGATCCCTCCCTCTCCCGGCCTCTGGTCTCCCTCTTCCTCCCTTTCCTCCTCCCCTTCCCACGTTCGGGCCCGGCTCCGGTTTCTGCCCAGACTTTCTCTGAAACTCCTCGGGAGCGCTTCCAGCCAAAACAACAAGGGCTGGGGGAGGAGGAGACGGACGGAGGGAGGGAGCGAGAGAGGGAGGGAGCGGGAGTCCGAGAGGCACCCTGGGATCTGTAGTTCGGGAAGCGGGAGCAGGGTCCTCCGGCGGCCCCCAGCCAGCTCCATGCCGGGAAGGCGGCGGAGGCCTCGGCCAGGGCAGCGCCGCCGGGGCTCGGGAGCGGGGAGGAGCGAGGGACGTTCGAATATTCAGTCCAGGGTTTGCCATCTTGACTCATCCCTGGTGTCGGTTCGGAGTTTGTACTGTGCACGAAATCAGGAGTTTCGGGGCTTTTTTCTATTTGACAGCCGGAAAAGCAAAACGGCAGAGAGGGAGACCACGATCCCTCTGGTCCTGCTGCGCGAGACTGAAGGGCTGGGACGAGGAGGGCGCGGGCGCGGGGGAGCGCGCTATGGCGACCAGTCTGGAGGAGGGGCACGGGGGGACCCACCAGGGTTCGCGTGGGCTGGTCCCCGGAGCAGTCCTGCCAGAGCGGTGGGAGCGCTCAGTGGGGCCAAATGATTTGATTGGGTCTATCTCTGGGACATTTTAAAGTCTCACACTACTTCTATTTGTTGCCTACTTCCTCCACTTCGTGTTTGTTTAAAGTCTACCCTTGAGGTGGAAGAATGATTGGGGAGGAGGAGGGGGCTCTCCTTTAGGAGGTGTGTAGCCAGAGCCTGGAAAGAGCTTGCAAAGAAAAAGAGGCGAATGAGATTTGTTTTGTGGATCGATAAAGGAAATAACCATAAGAACGGAAAGTAAGAAGTAGCAATAGTGTCCCTTCATGGTGAGCCCAAATGGAGACCCCTGGGAACGTGGAGATAGTTAGGGAAGAGCCATTAGGAGGAAAGAGGGGGTTGCTGAATTGTGCAAGCTCCAGTCCCTAAGTTAGGACATTGGCAAGAAATACCCCCATTGCTCTATTATGAATGGGCTTCATCATTCAGTACCTCTCCATTAGGTTACTATCTCCATTATTCTTGTCAGTGTCAGAGAATACCTTGAAAATAGAAGTAATTTATTTAAGTAACCCAGTAATTTATTATCAGAAAATAAAGCTGGTAATCTAATGCTATCTTCAGCTTATGTAAAGAGCATCAATAATAGAAAATACATCCAAAAAAAACCTGGCTCCTACTGGGGTTTAGAGACCTTCATCTTTTGGCAGGTATCACAAAGGCTGAGCTTCTTCCAGATCTGGATTCATTTCTCAGGTCAACGATTTAGAAGTTATGATCTTGGGCAAATGATACAATGTCTTTGAGTTACAGATTCCTGATATGTGAAATGGGAATGACAATACTGATTTTGTAGAATTTTAATGAAAATTAGCAATGATAGAATTTCAAATGTCGGGCACATATTAGATGTTGGAGGGTTTTGCTGTTCATTGCTTTCTTAATTTTTAAGGCTTTTTAGAACATAAGCAAGTATAATTTTTATGTCAGCTGACAATCCAAAGCAAGTCTTTTTAAGTATGTGAACATGGATCATACCACAAGTCCTCTAAATAAAAGTAAATCATTGAATTTGTTTTCCATTTCTTCCATCAACTTTAAAGTCTAATTCAAAGTCTTATCTAAATTTCATCTAAATCAAAGATGGGTGAGACTCAAGGTAGAATTCATTTTCAAGCAAATTTCCCTCCAGCTATAAGCCTATGAAATCAAACAAGGTATGTATTTCCAAAATGCAATGTTGAGACAGGCATAGGATAGACATTCTCATTTCAAAGGGGAGCAACAAGAAAGAAGAAAGGAGTAGCAGATCCCAAGTAAGTCCAAAACGTAACAGGGCAAAGAACATTAAATCTTAAGGCTTGAAAATAATCTCCTTTGACTCTGTGTCCCACCTCTGGACATACTGGGCTAGGGGTTGAGTCCCTAAGTCCCCATGGCATTGTTGGGCACAGACCACACTCCCGTTCTCATAGGGTTGGAGTTACATGCCTTTTAGCTCTTCTGGGCTGAAAAGCCATGCCGGTCACTCTACCATTCTAGGGCCTCAGGGGGTGGCTCCAACGCCACAGCTCTGCTGGGCAGTGCCCTATTGGGGGCTCTCTGTGGTGGCCCCACCCCCATGGCCCTACTAGGCATTGTCCTCAGTTCCCTAGTGAGATCTGTCTGAGGTGGTCCTGCTCCTGTGGCAGTTCTCTGCCTGGGCCCCAATGCTCCCTGGGGCATCGTTTGAAATCCAGGTGGAGACAGCCATGTCCCCACAGCTCATGCACTCTGTGCACCCATGGAGATGGCACTGCATGGATGCTGCACCCTTCAGAGAGATGGTACGTGCCACACCTGGGTTCACTTGAGTTCACTTGAGCCACACCTGGGGCATCTGAAGAGTGCCAGAATGTGGGAAGCAGAGACTTCAGGTGGCTCAGGGCAGCAAGTACCAAGGTACTCAGGTGCCAGAGGCCGCCTTTTGACATCGCTCTTGAGACTCTGAGCTAGTGATGAAAACAGCAGCCTCTATGATCTCTAAAATGCCTTTAGGGTCATTCTTCCATTATCTTGATGAATAACACCTGGCTTCCTTCAAATCCATACTAATCTCATTATCAGATGTTCACTTGGCCACACCCTTGATGTTCTCTCCTGAACACACCTTTTCTTTCTCTACAACATGGCCAGGCACAGAAATTTCCAAATTTTTAAGTGCTACTTCCCTTTTGTTCATAAGTTTCATCTTTAAATTGTTTCTGTCCTGGCATTTTACTATGAACAGTCAAGAGAAGCCGTGGTGCTCCTTCAACACTTTGGTTAGAGATTTCTCTCATCAAATAGAGACAGTTCCAGACTTACAATGGTATGACTTACGATTTTTGACTTTACAATGGGTTTATTGGGATGTCACCCCATCATAAGTTGAGAAGCATAAGTATCCTATTTCATCACTCACAAAGTTCCTCCTTCTACAAAACACTGGGACACAAACAATTCAGCCAAGTTCTTTGCCACTTTATAACAATGATTACCTTTCCTCTAGTTTCCAATAACACGTTCCTCACTTTCATCTGAGACATCATCAAAATGGCCTTTACTGTCCATATTTCTTACCAACATTCTGTAAGGACAAACAAGCTCTCTCAGGCCTCTTTTCTAAGAAGAGTGAGGCTTCCTGTACAATTCTCCTTCTGAGACTTCACCAGAATCACTCTTACTTCTCTGTTCATGGCAATAGAGGTTTTTGTTAGCATGCACCTCCAAATCCTTCCAGCCTCTGTCCATTACCCAGTTACAAAGCAACTTCCACATTTTTAGGTATTTGTTAGAGCAGCACCCCACATCTCGGTACCAATTTCTGTCTTAGTCCATTGAGGCCGCTGTAACAAAATACCTTGGATAGGGTAATTTATAAACAACAGACATTTATTCCTCACAGTTCTGGAGTCTGTAAGTTCGAAGATCGAGGTGCCAGCAGATTTAGTGTCTGGTGAAGGCCTGTTCCTCATAGATGGCATCTTCTTGTCACATGTTCATGTGGCAAAAAGGACAGACAAGCTCCCTCAGGCCTCTTTTCTAAGGGCGCTAATACCATTTATGAGGCAGAGCCTTGATAACGTAATCACCCCCAAAGGTCCTACCTAAACTGTAAAAGTTGAAATTTTCACACATCTAAACATTTCTGAGGAAGTTGTGTTTAAGTCTCAGAATGAAAATATCCTTGGAATAAGATTTATTCAGGTATAATGAAAAAATGTTCTTTCATCTTTTGATGAAGAAATGAAATATTGCTTGTTTTTGGAATGTTTCAAGTACAATTATTACGGGGTAGATTATGATGAATGTAAGCACATGATTGTATCACTGCCTGAGTTGCATGATTTTTTTCTCTGACCTAGTATTTCAAACTTTAGATTACTGAGTGGGCTAAAAGTTTTTATTTGAAAATATAAACTAAAATCCCTTTGTGATTGTGACATGAAAACATTATATGTAATAGTATTAAAGTTGTTTTGTTTTTGTTTCTTAAGATAGAATCTTGTTCTGTCACCCCAGGTACAGTAAGTACAGTGGCATCATCATAGCTCACTGAAACCTCGAACTCCTGGGTTCAAG